TAACATGCCTATATTCAAGGTTATGCTTAACTTTCATTTAAAAGAACATAAAAATAAAATTACACAAATGTTCGCTGATATGAAATATAAGAACAACAAAAGGAAAAAAGCAGAGAAAGAAAAAATAAAACTTAAAAGCTCGGAATGAAAGACTAAGAATCCTAAGCTTCATCTTGGAAAAATAAGTACAAAATTATAGATCTAAAAATGCTTTTGTTTGTATCTTTTTAGGGCCCCCATCAAATTTTATAACAATGTTTCATTGTATAATTTATCTTCCACCTTTCATCTTAAAAATCAAAACTAAGAATTAATGTTAAATTTTTAAATTTTCACTTGGAATGCCCTTACAATCTTTACATTCTCAAAGATACATTTTTCTCATAAGAAAATAATTAATTTGTGTTTTAATAGAACCATTCTTATAAATAATGATAAGCTCTCCTTTTTTCTTGAATAAAGTATTAGCAATAACAAAATCATAAGCTAAAACAAAATCTAATATGATTCTACCTTATTCATTAATCACTCCAAAGTCGTAGCCACCATGAATATTTTTAAAATCTTCTACCACTCTATCAACATGTTTATTTAAATTTCCTTCAATAAATATTTGTGTCATAGTTCTTTCTCTAATCCTATTAATTTCTACAACATTATCTTTTAAAACTCTTATCTATTATTATACTTACACCATTTTTAGTATAACTCATATTTGAATACTAATGTTTAAAACCTAAGCTATCAATCTCCTTTGTTTTTTTTCCAACCCATTTAGTTTGTTGAATGCATAAGATGTTTATCTTCCTATAAATCTTAATATCTATTAAATCAATTAATTTACATATGAGAGTACTAATATTCCAAGATGCTATTATAATATTACTTCCATATACTAACTTCATTGCTTTCATATGTCCAGTAATGTGACAACCCTTGTTTATTTAACACTACACTGGGCATTGGTGTAGCCTCCCTTGCACATTTTTTTACAGTATTTAGGTCATGCAGTGTGTCGTTTATTCGAACATTTACACAATAATTTAAAAGATTCATGTCATAATTTTTTTCAACAAAAAATTTTACGTTGGTTGTCGATTACCTAACAAAAACCCCCACTTTCACATTCGAGGCTTGAGACTCAACAATGACAATGTTAAAATATTAAAAAAATATTCCATACAAAATTTGACTGGAGTTACTTATAAAAAGAGACATTTGAATGTTATAAATAAAGTTTGTGATGATATGCTCTTGAATCTTATAGTTAAAGTTTGTGATATCATGCATGTAAGTGCCTTATTATTGAACTAAGCTTTTAGTCTCTTACACAGCCCTTGTGTTTAATTTTATGTATTACATGTTGTAATAATCAAGCATTAGCTCATAAACATGGTGCAATTCAAACAAATTATATGGGTTAGGGTTTAATTGCCAACTTCGATAGCATGGGTGAGAGTTTAAAAAATTGCATAAAAATGATATTAACTTTGTAAATGGAAATATTCTGAGTGCTATTCATGTAATTGTCCAATTTATAGCATCTTCACCTTTCACTTCATTAGACATTTGTAGCATTATGATGACTAACCCCACATTCACTGCCATGAGGTTATAGCCATGGCCCATTTTAGGTGTCATGCCAATCTTTTCCGAAAATGATTTGTTCAGTAAAGGGGTCGTTTAACAAAATTTTCATGATTTTGCTCAAAATATTTGGAAGATTTACATGCACACCTCATGTCTTATCTATTTACATATTTAGCACCTAAACTTCAATTTTAACCTACATACTACTTTATCTATGCATGAAATGTATATTTCATTTTCTAAAGTTAAGAAAATGGTGTTATATATGTGATATGAAAGATTTGGGTGGTTTAATTGTAAAAAGCAAATAGTTATGCCCCAAACAGAAGAAAAATTTGAGTACATAAGACGTGCGTAGAGCTACGTACGTCGGAGATTATTCAGGGGGTATTGAGGGGTTATATCCTCGTTATACCCCATGTAACATCCCTGTAACCTACCTATAACCCCCAATACCCTCTGAATAATATTAGAAGTATGTAGCTCTACGTACGTCTTATGTACGCAAATTTTTTTCCTCCAAACAGACCATAAGTATTGGGCATGTAAATACATAGGAATTGAGTGTTATGTGTCTAAATGCCCCAAAATATTGAGGAGTTTCTTATGAATAAGATTGCCTGTAAATGTCCATTGTAAATCTGGTACGCGTGACCTTTCTCGACTGCTGTTGGATAAATCTGTAAGACATTTGAATAAAATATTTAGATATATAATTAAAGTTAAGAAATAAATGTTGGATATTTGGTGATCTTCACGAAAATAGATAAAAGTACAACTACCTACAGAGTAG